AATGGTTTCTATTTTTAAAAGATATCTATGAATCCAAAAGCTGCTTCCTTACAGAGAATATTGCCTAATCCTCTTTAGAAGGATTAAAATGTAAAACATTCTAGCAATACAAAAGAGAATCTGTAGGTGGATTTTATACCTGTCTTTTCTCTCTTTAAAAATTTTTATATTCTTGCAGCTGAGAAATGAAAAGTTACCGGAGTTATAGTATCAGACATGCGTATATCTTTTTAGGAATTAATTGCAGAAAGCTTTCGTAAGTTATTTTATTTATGTTAACCTCTAAAGTTGTGACATGATTCCTGCATCTGAAGATGACACCTAAGGCCTCAATCCTCCAAGGTATTTGGGAACTTGGGAGTTAGGTGCCCAAATACCTTTGAGTATCTGGACCTAATTTCTCATCCAGTAGAAAATATCTGAACTGTACAGGGAACTGAGAGGAAATATTCCACTTGCACTGCATCCTGGAATTACAGGATCAGCTTCACCTTTGTTTAAAATTTTACACTAACGCTTTTATCCTGCAAAAACTTACACATGGGCTTAATTTTACAACTGCAAGTAGTCCCCCTGATTTCAATAGTAAAGTTAAGCATGTGCATGACTGCTTGCAGGATCGGACCTAAAAGAGTTTATCGTCAGCTATATTTTCTAGCTTAATTGGAAATGTGAGAATCTTATTTAAGAAGCTCTGTACAGTATTGCTTAGCTCAGGGCATGAATTCCTAATAACCTAGATAAAGAGGCACAAAGTCTAAATCATTTCCAGGAAATACTTAGGGCCTATGTTTGATGTGGCATACATTAAAAAACATTCAAATTTCAATATTTTCCAATTGTCCCCTGTCATAAACGGACAGTTAAGGGTTAATTCCTCTTTTACCTGTAAAGGGTTAAGAAGTTCACATAGCCTAGCTGACACCTGACCAGAGGAACCAATGGGGGGACAAGATATTTCAAGAGGAAGGAGGGAAGTTCTTCTTTTGTTCTATTCATTAAGTTCTGTGCTGGAGTGAAAAGATCAAGGAATCAACCAGGGTAGTGAGTATTAGAGAAGGAATAAATTAGCTTATGTTTATTTCCTTTTGTGACTTCATTTTGCATAAGAGGGGGAATTAAATTGGGTTTTTCTTTTGTGTAACTAAGGTTTTCGCCCAGAGGAAAATACTCTGTGTTTTTGAATCTGTTGTCTGTGAGAATAGCTTGCATGCTAATCTCAGAGGTATTCCTTTCACCCTTTTTCTTTAATTAAAAGTCTTTTCTTTAAAACCTGATTGATTTTTCCTTGTTTTAAGATCCAAGGGGTTTGGATCGGTGTTCACCAGGAAATTGGTGGAGAAGTCTCTCAAGGCTACCCAGGGAAGGGTTATAGTATTTGGGAGGGAGATATTTTGGCGGGGAAGACAGAGTTCCCAAATGACTCATAAATGGTTGTTTAAACGATTTGGTAGTGGCAGCATACTGATCTAAGCTGGTAATTAAGCTTAGGGGTTCTCATGCAGGTTCCCACATCTGTACCCTAAAGTTCAGAGTGGGGGTGAAACCTATGACATCCCCACATAGCACAGAAATCCCTGTTTCTATTTATTGGGGGATAACTGTTCAAAACTGTTGACAAATATTGTCATTTTGGTGGTGACTACTGTAAGCAGTATGTAAACTGTTCTTTGTGTGCAGTGGTTGCTAGTATGTAGCAAATATTTATCTACAGTTATTTCAATTCTAAGTACTATAGGTAAATATTGACTTTTTCATGGAGACTAGTTCAAAGGAACTGTGAGAATTTAGTGCGTTTCAACAAAGCCCACCACACATATGAGAGTGATCTTATGTTTCAAAGGGGAGAAGTAATTTTTTTAAAATATAAATAACTGGTTCAAGCAAGAAAATTATTGTATAATTTGTCTATTAATTCTTTGGTGATATGAGGAAATTGAGTAAATAAATTAAGGCAGTCAAAAGGCATTTTAATTTGCTCAACCAGCATGTACTCAGCAAATCACTGTAGGTCTAATTGTCCTAGAAAATATTACAGGAAGATATATTTTCACACAAATGAGCTCTTCAGTAAGAATTCGTAAAATGCATTAGGTGCAAACAGGTTTTATTAATCAAACAAACATATATTAAAAACATTATTTTTCCAGCTTCCTTCAATAACTCACTTTTGTGATGATCCTAAGAAAAACGCCATTCCTAGTTGATATTTGCACTGTCTCTTTCATACTATCTCATCATAGCAATTGAGAGAATCTTAATACCCATTTCTATTTATATTCCAAGACCTGAGTGCCACTGAGTAACAAGTATTTTGGGTTTTTGGGTGAGGTAATTTTGTTTTTTTGCAAAAGAAGTTGGTTTTGTTTGGGTGTGGTAAAAGGGGAGGTGGTAGACTTAACTTTGTCTTGAAATGGAAAGAACTTGTACCACCTCCTAAAAGTTCACTGTAGCACCAGCAGCCGTAGAATAGACACAGGTTAACATTCTGCTCCTAATTGCACAAGTTATAACATACGTACATCACTAGATCAGAATTTGTCCAACAACCTTTTAGAGGGCCTGAAGTTACTTATATGTACATTTTTCATGAATCCAGCTAGTTCCTTTGAATTATCCATTGATGCAGGTGGCTTATCGTAGAATATTTATATACTGTGCATTAAGACTCACAAAAAAATTCAGTGTCCATTTTTGAAACATGCATTCAACTTCAGTGACATTATAGAGGCCATTGAAAGTTTGGATATACTTTTAGAAGAATAGTGTGCCCCAGTATACCAAACAGCCAGATTGAAGAGGCAGAGGTTTGCACTGGAGATAAGACATGCCTCCAAGCTAGAAAAGCCAGAACAGAGACACTAAAATGGATAATTTAAAGCACATAGATTTGCTGATTTTCATTTAGACAGTACTGTATATACTAATAAATTAACGAATTTAACACAATTTTTATCTTTAGATTCTTCCTTTTGTATTGCTTTAAAAAAAAAATTCAGTGATATTAATTACATTCACTTAGGCTTGGTCCACACTGGGGCGGGGGATCGATCTAGGAAACGCAACTTCAGCTACGAGAATAGTATAGCTGAAGTCAACGTTTCCTAGATCGAACTAAGTTTACTTACTGCGGGTCCACGCGGCGCAGGCAAGCTCCCCCATCGACAGCGCTTCCTCCTCTCGGCGAGCAGGAGTTCCGCAGTCGATGGGGGAGTGCTTCTGGGATCGATTTATCACGTCCAGATGAGACGCGATAAATCAATCCCAGAAGATCGATCTCTACCCACCGAATCAGGCGGGTAGTGTGGACCTAGCCTTAGTCATGATGGGCCTGACTCCACAACCTTCACACCGAGTATTACTGACACAGGTAGACCTGTTAACTTCAGTGAAGTTATCTGTGTGAGCAAGAGTTCTACCATTGGACCCCATAGGCATACAATTCAAGCATGTTGCCTTGATATGAAATGTGTCCTCAATACTAATTGTGCAGTTCCCTAATCCAAACATCCCCTCCCTCCTCTAAGGTGAATGTCAATGCAGAATGATTTAAAATTGCCTGTCCTTAAGATGGTGGGCCTGATTTTTCACTGCATTACACCAGTCACACATCAGTATAATGCCTTTGAAACTACTGGCTTGGTGCAGTTATTTCTGTTTAGCACTCCCGTCAAATAGTTTATCTTTTAATTTCCCATGAGATGTCAAGTACATATTTTCCCAATCAATAATGCAGATTTAGTCAAGTAATAACTCAGTGGAGGGACTCCACATATGCTCATATTAGTAAGGTTTGGGAATTTGTCTTTATGCTGTTTTCTCATCCTAGCAATTGAGGGAAGCCAGACAACCACCACACTTGCAAATGCACTCACACAGGAACAGGATAAAAGATAAAAACACCACCTCACCTATGGGCGGACACTGTTCACAAAGCGATCACTCTATATCTGACCTTTTAATCCACATCCTCAAAGGAAACCTGCACAACGCTTTCAAAAGACAAGCCTGGGAGCTTAAATTTATAACTTTGCTCAACACTAAAAATCATGGACTGTACTAGAGATACTGGATATGGCTTATTACAACAATCTGTACCTCCCTATCCCTCTCTTTTTGTCATATTGGGCCACTCTATCTTGAATGGTCCCTCATAATATGTGCTGACTACTTACACTGAACAACAGTCTGTTCCACCTTGCATTTTGCTGTGATGCTGAGAGCACCTTTCCCAGACCTGAAGAAGAGCTCTGTGTGGTTTGAAAGCTTGTCTCTCTCACCAACAGAAGCTGGTCCAATAAAAGATATCACCTCACTCACCTTGTCTCTCTTGTATCTGAAGAAGTGAGGTGAGTGAGGTTTTTACCCACGAAAGCTTATGCTCAAATAAATCTGTTAGTCTTTAAGGTGCCACCAGACTCCTTGTTGTTTTTGTAGATACAGACTAACACGGCTACCCCTGATACTTGTCTCTCTAATATCCTGGGACCAACAGGGCTACAACTACACTGCATATAGCTGAGATTCCTGTAATTTATGGAGTATTTCTCTGTTTTTTCCATTTGTTTACTTTTGGGCATTTGACAGCACTTTATGCATATTCAGTTTCACTGTTTTCCCTGTATAATCAGCTAGTTAATCAGTTTTGTCCTTTTTTGTGTGTGTGAGTCTTTCATGCAACAACAAAGAAGAGAAAAATGTTCTGAGCAATAGGAAAATGAGATTTTAAAACCACAAAAATTGGCTGGGGGTTTCAGGTACAGGACTTTAATTTGTTTCTTTAGTTTAGTGGGTTTCAAGTTGGTGCTGTGTCTAACTTTTTTACATTTAATATTTAACTAGATTTCATAATTGTGTGACATATTTGTTTTTTAAGGAACCTATTTTTGAAGTTCTAGATAAAACGGTCGTGTTTCAATAATAAAGTATGTAGCTATGCAAAAAATGAAAGTTTGGTCACATCATTCCATTATTCTCCCTTTGTTTTGTTTTTTTCCAAGCTGCCTGTCTCGTCCTGGGCTGTATGATTTTTCCTGATGGCTGGGATTCAGATGAGGTAAAACGGATGTGTGGTGAAAAGACAGACAAGTACACACTTGGGGCTTGTTCAGTCCGCTGGGCATATATCCTGGCTATTATTGGAATCTTGGATGCCCTGATCCTCTCGTTTCTGGCATTTGTGCTTGGCAACAGACAAGACAGCTTGCTAGCAGAGGAACTCAAGTTGGAAAACAAAGGTAGGATTGCCTATAGGAACGATACTACTCTGTGCTGCCTCAAGGGCAAATACTTAAAAAAACAATTCTCTCTCTTTTTAGCAGAATATAGCACACTTTCTTATGTTGTAATTTGCTGGGTGATTTTAATAATTTTTTAGTTCCCAAATCAAAGACCTCCTTAAGTTACAATAATTTCTGCTCTGTTAAAGAACTTGCTGATTTGTACTTAACATTCTGGAAGGAGTAGATAAAATATTTTTTTCATATTGTTTTGTATTTCATTAGCATTGAAACTTTACCATCTTCATCCTTGTCCATACGCCTCTCTATATTTGTTCTTATTTTGGTTCCTTCAGGATTTTGCATTGTAATTATAAATACCTGCAATATACTAATGCACAGTATGTTACTGTGCAATAGAAAGTAACAAAGGGAATGGATGGCTTGGGAGACTGGCAATGAGCTATGTAATGGGATAGCCCAGGGGTAGTCACTAGGCAGACCGTGGGCCAAATCCAGACCACCAGATGCTTTTGAACGGACTTTGAAATCTTTTTATTTACTTATTATCATTATTGTTGTTTTGTGTTGTTGTTGTTGTTGTTATTTTCTCTGAAGTCTGGACCTTGACTATACATTGACCAAGAAATTTGGACCTTGACAAAAAATAATTGACTACGCCTGAGATAGTCTATGTAATGAGGTGCCATGGTCTAGTGGATTGATAACACTGCTCTACAGCCAAAATGCTTCTGAAATAAATGTAGTCAAACTTTACTAATTCTGGGTCACTGAGAATGAAAATGATCCTTAAAATTGTTGATTGGCTCTAGTTTTCAAGATATGCTATTGGGTCAGTATATACGACCCTTGACTTGGGAATGGCGGAGGATAAGTGAGTTATAAAGGGAAGGGATCTCAATTTAAACCAGAAATCACTAAAATACATCTTTGACTGGATCTATGAATAAATCTATGACTGGGTTTGGACAGTACTTGCTTTTTAGGCAAAACAATGAATGATGCAATCTGAAGCTGGTACTGCATCATACATGATATGAATTGCATCATGTTATTCCTAGAAGTCATGGATGATGCAATCATAACGAAGCTTACATCACTCTGCTGAACAAATTGCCCTATATCATACAGTGTCGTGCTCTCTTCTTTGTCAGTGTTTGATTTTGCAAAGGGACACATTTCTGTTTAACCAAAGTGAGCAGAGATGCCTCGTACTTGTGTGAACAGTGCAGATAACTTCTGCTATGTTTGTGGTGAAGTGACTTTTGCATCACAAAAGCGCAGTATAACCACTATGGTTAAGAAAGCCTATCACCTTTATTTTGGCTGCAAAATTGGAGATCAGGACAAGAGGTGGGCCCCATACATATGCTGGAACACTTGCGCAACAAATCTTGGCCAGTGGTTGAAACAGGAAAAGGAAATCTATGCCTTTTGCAGTGCCAATGATTTGGAGAGAGCCA